CTAACCCTCCTTGAAAAGTACATCATTATCACAAACAGTGAACAGCAGGCTGTAAAGTGAAGATGGCATACTAAAAACACTGTCACTTTGATCATTTTCCAAGGATCTGTATTGCATGGCCAACTTCACCATCTTCCTGCTCTCCCGTTGATTTGGCCGCTGGTGGCTTGGCGATTTTGTGACGGAGTTTGTGGGATATGCCGTGAGTCTTTAAATCCTGTCAGCAACCCCCTTTGTTTCTTTCTCAGTAAGACACAGAGCCAAAGCTTTAAAAGTCACAAAAACATGGATTAAGGGTCTCAAAATAGAGTGCAGCACCTGTCATCAAACATTAACCAGCATGCACACTCTTGATTCTAGATATACACCCAAATGTCACATGAACTCTTACAACAAAGCTGCTTAAACCAGTGGGTGGCTTTAGAAGCATAGAAAGAAGACGCTCTTTTTTTGATTTACTGTCAATAAATGCACAAAACATAGTCATGTTTGCCAAAATAATAATAAAAAAGTTTATAAGCAAAACCATGGGCAACAGTTTATTCATTATTGTTTCTAATCAAAACTATATTATGACTTGCCTCCAAAGGCAAAAAGAATATAAATATGTCATGGGCTTGGGTTTTTGAGATTGTTGGTTAAAGTATCTTGTGAATCACTTGACAAATTTTAATAACACTCTCAGGAAGTAATCATTAGATGTACATTTACAGCTACAGCTAATCAACTTTGCAAGTCAACGATATAAAATGGTCACCATAGCCAAATGACCATAGCAGATACAACAAGAGTATTGTGCATGGCACATTATATGCACATCAACAAACATCAGCCTATAGCAATGGCATGCACAATGAAATGCCTTATATAAAATTTGACCTCAATTTATGACCTTAGAGCTAACCTGTTGAAAAGTGTATGCGACCATCCGAGTAGTGATGATGCATATGTGTATCAAGTTTCATTAAAATGTCTTGAGTGGATCAGAAGTGATAACCCAAACAAGAGAAGGTGTATGTATACACAGATGTAGACTATACCATGATATGCCCACCTTCGATAAGCATATGAAGGTACAACAACTCTGTCAATTTTACAGGTTGAGCTAAATGTTAGTGTTATAGAAGCTAAGGATCTCCTCTCCCACATACCTTGAGCGTTTCACAATGTGCTCAAGATCTTAGGCTTTCACTGTTGGTGCCAACAATGTTTGTTTGTTAGCAAAATGCCTCAAGAATCACTGCACAGAATTTGGCAAACCCTTCAGAAACTAATCATTGGATAGACATCTAGGATTTATTACTTATTGAAGTCACACTGATTTCAGATTGCTGCCAGTCAACTGACCTATGTAAACACAAAAATGTCTTTAACTCTGTCAATTTTATAAATATTGGGCTAAACTTTGGTGTGGCAGTAGCTGAGGTTAAATCCAAACACATACTTCAAGTGCTACCAAGCACTTGAAGTATGTTTTGCAGGATCTTTGCTGTTGACATTGTCATTAACTGGTATGAGTAGCTATCAGCAAAATAAATATATTTGTTTGTTAGCAGAATACTTCACTGGACACGTTAATGAAACTCTCAGAAGGAAATTGTTGGATGTTCATTTACAACTGATTGACTTTTGAAGTTACACAGTGGATTTCCAAATGGATTTCACAGCTGGTGAACTTCTATCAAGACTAAAATGAATATTTTCTCAGATATTTACAGATACCGAGCTAAAGTTTAACATGATAGTATCTGAGAGTCATTATCAATGGAGCACCAACACATCACAAGATCTCATGATTTTGCTTGAGATTTCTCATAACATTTTTCATAGGTTAAAGTTTTTTCCTTCGCATCTTAGGATGATTTTAATTTATAACTGTTGTAAAAGGCAGCAACCAATACGCTTTACACAAATTGTGTTACTGACAAAACAGACATTTTTAAATTACGTTTGTTTACCTGCCTGTTTTAACTCCAACTTTTCCTAAACCAACTTCAAACATCTAGTTAGAACTTTCTTGCCTTTTCTGCTCTTCATTAATACAGTATTTTTATTTAACATTGGTAGAACAATGTTGGGATTTTATCTATATTATCTGATTTTTTTATTATTTTTTTTATTTGTATTTTTTTGTGTGTGGCTTGTGCATTTGATGGCAAATTTCCACATAGATACTGGTTTCATGCAATCACAGTTTCATAAATTGAGGATATTTTCAATAATATTTCAGTCTGCAGTTGTGCTCAGTTTTAATTGACGTTTGCTAAACTGATGTGGTTAAACCAGAGTTTATTCCTGTTTGTTCATCAATTAAAGTCCACTTACAGTTGATAAACAACTATAAAGGTTAGTTTCATTATTTTGGGCAGCCAAAACCAGCCAGTTTTTTTTTTTTTTTTAAGTGATGTTTAAACACATAAGCCACAAATAGTCAATAAAGTTATCAAAGCCAATGATTATCTAGAAGTATTAACAATAATCATTTCAACGGTAAACTTCTTTTGTTGAGGGGTTTAGGGGGGTTTGTTGGTCAGGCTGCAGATTCTATGTACTGTTCTGTTTTCATTGCATATAGTCTTATTGTACAATGACAGACCGTGGTTTTCATAGACCAAGATAAATTGTCTTTGGTGTTGAATCTGTTCTCATGTTGTCAGTTTTACTCACTGTTTACTTTTGCTTTCAGACCCTGGTTGGGGGTTAGAATTGGGTAACAGTTTCTTGGTTCACAACAGGCTCAAATAATGTGTTTAAATTCAGAAAATGAAACCTTCTGGTTATCCTAAGATACATATTTTCTTGTGGACTAAAGTACACAGATTTGCAACTTTATCCAGCCATTGCATATATTCACAAGGAAGTCAATTATTCATATGTTTGATCTGGTTTGTTTAAAATTGTCCTGATGGCAACTTGCTGGTTCAAATAGAAATATTATGTTCTCTTGACAAAACAGTAATAAGTGACCATTTCAGTTAAAGCTGAACAGAGCAAGATGGAACATTTTGTCCAATTATTTATCTTTCTGCTGCTTACATGTGAATGGATCACAGAGGCAACAGGTGTAGGAGGATAATCCTTTCACTGAGTTTTGAGTCACATCGGGTCTCTGTACAGGGAACTGAGATGGTGTAGAAGTAGGACAGCTGACTTGAGATCAGAAAGTCGTGGTTCGACTCCCCACCATGTCCTCATGTCGTGGTGTTCCCTAACAAGACAACTAATCCCTAATTGCTCCCCGGGCTCTTACTTAGCTGCCCACTGCTCCACATGGGTGTATCTCAGGTGCAATGGGTTAAATGCAGAGAAGTAATTTCGTCATTGTATGGGAACATACAATGACAACACATAACACTCACTTACCAGCAGGTCATGCCTGGGAAACTTAAAAAAAAAATGTGCCCAGGAGGTATCCTAATAGATGCAACCTCAGCTGACTTTATTTCTAACAGCATTGGATCTACTTCAAGCTTTCTCTGGATGGTAGAGTTCCTCACATCATCTCTAAGGCTCAGCCTGGCTACCCAAGGAAGATGCCAGTTTCAGGGACTTGTATCTGAGATCTTGTACTTTCAGTCACAGGTGAGGGCTGGAACATAGACCAGAACATTGTAAGCCTTTCCTTTCAGATCATCTTCTTTTTCACTAAAACTGACTGGATCCATGCTGTTATTACTTTGGGCAAGGCCCTGATTTGTAAATCCAGTACCTGCTCCATCCTTCCAATCTTCATTAAGACTCATAGATACTTGGTCTTCCACTTGAGACAAAGACCCATTCCCAACTTAGAAGAAGCATTCCTTTTCTTTTGGGTTGAGATGGCCTCAGACCTAAAAGAGCAAATGCCTTTGAGTTTGAACATTTCTTGATAAGCATCACAAACAGGGTCAAAGCCAAGAAACAGCTTTGGTGGACTTCAACCAGCAACAAAATAAGATGAACTTTGCAGAATTGTTTGCAGACAATTCTTGTTTTGGTTAAACAAGATCTGAATAACCCTTAAAAGTGACCCTAACACCCACCACAGAATTCCTTGAAGAACACAGCCATAAGCCTTCTGCAAATCCACAAATCCATGTAGACTGGAAAGTTAGACTCTCATAATCCCCTCAGCAACTCTGCACAGGTAAAACCTGGGTCCACTGCTCAGTGGACACGATGAGAGCCACAGCTAGGATTAACTGTGCTCCCTAAAACATGACAATTTTACAAGGTACTCTAGTTTGTTTTGCCCTTTAGGAGCTACTGTGGCTATATAGCTCAATAAAGAGGACTTTCAATGACTTCAACGGAAGTCATGTAGGCCTATCTCATTTTCACAGAACTTGACTTTAGCATAGTTAGAAATAATATGGAGTGATTCGTAGATATTTTAGAGTGCTACTCTATAGATCTTATAGATTTTTATACAAGTGTCTTCGCCTTTGTTGCAGTTGTCTCTTTAAACGTATGACAAGCAATCAACACTCAGACAACCTTAAATCTAACTGGAGCATTTTTGTCTGTAGTTTACAAACATGTTCACTCGTTTCCTTCCCACAAAGAACAATTTATTCTTCACACATTTACTGAAAATTACAGTTTATTGAAAGGGCACAGAAAGGTCAAATAACACAGATACATGTAGCTAGGAGTTACTACTCAGTGCATGGCACATTCTCAGGGAGACGACCCATTGTGAGTCTTTGGCTCTTTGCCTCAGGAGTGTTAAAGGCAGACAGAGTGCTGAAATATTAAATGTTGAACAGTTGGCCAGCCAACTTGAGCCTTTATATTTCAAAATGTGGAGTAAATTAACCTTGCTACTATGAGTGACAAACAATATTCTAAGTTGGGTAGTAGTAATAGTACTAGGTGGAGTACTTTTTATTTCTCAATTGATATACTTGTCACAGGAAACAGTGTTAAGACCTCACCAGTGGAAAGTTTTTTTTTTTTTTCTAAAAAGATCACATTTAGAAAGCAGTGTCCTTACTGATCAAAGTTCAAATAAGTAAACAACAAATGAACAATTATAAAACAAGTTACCAGTTCCATTGCTACCTTTGAAAAAAAAACAAAAAAAAAACTTCTAAACGCATGCCATTTTACTATGAAGTTTTCAGATGAAAGATTGAGTTTTGCTGACAGTCCCAGTGTCTCAGATTCTTTTAACAATGCCAGTATGCATGTGTCCCGTGGTGTGTGCATGTGTTCAAAAGTGAGTGTAAGGTAATGTGTGTGGGCGCACATTATTTTTTGTGGAAGTGCGCAAAGTGTGTGCTTAGAAACATCCTCCAGGCAATGCAGGCTGCTTTGCGATGACATGCCGTCTGCTCAGTCGTCTTTATGTGGCTTTGTCTTTCTGCTGCTGCTGTCCTCTGCGTCCCCACTGTCATGCGAGAGCGTTGTGCCAACATTTCCAGGCTGCTCTTGACTTGTTTGCTGTTGAGATTGGAAAAAGAAAGAAAAGTAAGGTTCATAATGAACAAGACAGAGACAGTCAGCATTTAACATTTGGTGGTTTATAACCGGAGGTGGAAGTGCTTCTTTGAGGCTGTTATAACCTGACATTAACAATGATTCTCAAGGTCGCATCTCACTGAGCTGCCACTGTTGGAAAATTAGTCTGTGAGTCAAAAATGTTGGAAAATTGTGAGAAAATACTGGAATTTTCAGCTGCTGTCTTGATGAACTCTTCTTGTTTTAGATCAAATGACCGTCGAGCCTCGTGGCTGCTTTTTGAGAGCCCAGTTTTTCAATAAAGTAACCTATATGTGGGCAGCTGTGGCTGAGTGGTTAGAGAAGTCGCTCTCCAATGCAAGAGTTGGGGGTTCGATTCCACCAGTAGTCACATGCCAAAGTGTCCCTGGGCAACACACTAAACCCACCATTGCCTCAGATGTGTTTCCCATCGGTGTACGAATTTGATAAAGCACTGATTATTCTTTGTATAGATCCAGTAGAGTGCTGTATGAATGAGTACATGAGGGCACAGATTGTAAAGAGCTTTGAGTATCTTGATAAGATAGAAAGGTGCTATATAAGTACAGTCCATTTATAATTTTATATTTGTACGGCTTTTAAGACTGTATTATTTTATTAGCTTTGCACGTGTAAAAATCCAGCTCTTGCACTCATGAGACGTGTTGCAGATACCTGAGGCTAAACTCAAATGGGTTCAAGATGCCCGTGATGACACTTTGTTTCAAGCTACACGCCTTTTTTCTTTTATCAAATCTCAAGCGACAACGCTGCATGTATACAACAAGATTGACCAGATCCCGAACAACTGAATGTGGGACAAAATGATTCTTAGTAGGGACAATGTGGGACACATCACCGATATTGTCATGCCATCATAACTTTTTATTTATTATAGATCTCACATTAGTTAATCAATCTCTGATTTCCCTGTTAGTTCACACCTATGACTCTTAAAAGTTTTAAGGATTTTTTCTTTACTACTGGACAACACAAAACCACAACCAGGTCTACACAAGTCCACACTTGCAGGCAGCAACCTTGGAGAGCACCTGGATGATCTCAACTGCTGCTACCTTGTCTGCCATCTTTGGGATTGGAAGGTGACTCTGAGCTCTGCATTTCTCATGTGAATCACTTTTACAGGGTCACTTCATGACGTCTTTCTCTCAATGGGAAATTGAAAATTAACTTCTTGTTTTTTTCAGAGAATAACCTTGTACTGACCTCCCCCATTTCCCAATCTTTGTAGCTACATTTTCATTTCTTTGGCATAGTTTCCATTATATTCTGCTTAAATAAAATCCCTTGGCTTGCCAGTTTTTTATTAGCATAGCGCCGTGCAGGATGGCCGTGATGTGGGGACACTGTAGCACACTGTGATTGACAGCTGACGCTGCTCTGCTGACGGTCTCTGCCGTTTTTCAGCAAAGGAGGCAGAGAGAGACAAAACTAGGGCATTACCTAATCACTGCAAAAAATAATATATGCATTGGTACCTTCAGGGTTACTTTAAATCCCACATGGGTCAGTCAGTCACACAAATAGATTAAACGTAAATGTTTGTTTGCGTTTGCATAAAATCAATGGCAGCTATGGATTTTAAATTATTACTGAAAACACTAAAACAAGTAGCTTTTCTTCAACTGTGATATTTCAATACACTGTCAAGTGTGCTTTCTTTTTAGTAGATATTATACATATTTAGTTTTGATATAAACTGGATATAAGTTTGAATTAGTTGTGCATCTTAGTTGTTTTGAATGGTCAGTTTTGATAAAGTCAGATCTGTTGATTATTGGCTAAACGTATGTGCATGAGCAGGTGCTTGTGACCTGAGAGGTGATGTGTGTGTGTGTGTGTGTGTGTGAAAAGAGGAGAGGAGAGAGTTTGATGGAACCTGAGGCCGACGCACTGTGAGAGAGCTCAGCATGGACAGGACGGACCCGTAAGGATGAGGTTCACAGAACAGGAAGATCTACACTCATGGAAAGTCCATTTTGTTAAAAATAGGTTAATCTTTTTTTGAAGTTAATAAAACTAGGCATAATCATTTTGCCTAAATTTTTATAACTCTCTGGGTCTCATTCTTTGTAAACTAATATATTATTGCAGCACACAGGTTTTGTAATTATTCCCCTTTCAGGTACACCTTCGTGGTATCTACCTTATCATTTATTGAACTCAAGCACCCCTCCATTCTGGTTCATAACTCCAA